TGCTGTAGATGTATTCAAAAATAATAACATATTTTTTTAATATTAGAAAATCATTTGATAAACGAATAGGAAAATGTATTGATTTCGAACATTTATTTAAGTAGTAATAGCATTTTATAATGTGGAGTTTATTATATTGAAAGCAGTTAAAATGATAGTAGTATTTCTAGAGAAAAATAAATACTTTAACACCCTGTATCTTTTTTAATATCAAGAATTGAACTAATTTAAATTGTGTTTTATCGCAATATTTTCATGCAAGGAATAAATAGTTGATCTGTGTCCCATTAATTATTAACGGACCACCCGGTAGATACAATATTAATAATTTTTATTTGACTTGTTTTTAATCATTTTTCGGACGTACCCGTATACAATGTACATTATATTTTTATAATTTTCAGCACATTGCTAGTTTTAAAAACTTTTACAATATTAAAAAAATCAAGCCCTATTTCTTATACATTAGTGTAATAGCTTGATATTTCAATTTGTGTTATGGATTTGCAAACTAGTTTCAAAAATAAGTCATAGGGAGTTGAACAAGGCATATTTTTTTACATACAGGACGATAAGTTTTTACTTGGCTAATCAAAATGTATATTTTTTAATTTCAGTTTTAGAATGGTTTGGTAATTATTCAACCATAGAGCATTAATTTTTTGTGAAATTAAAGAATGTTGCAGACTCATAATTTTTTTAAATGTTTTGTCCTTCGATTTTTAAATTAATATTGACTACACCAGAAGATAGAAAACTTGTACTTTCTGAAACATATATTATAGTGCTTATTAAAGAACTTGTTCATCGGTTCAACCAAAATGAGTGATTATTGTGAATAATCGATAAATATTAACATTTTGCAAGATATTTGTCTTATATTTACAAATCAATTGTAAATTTTAATAAAACTGTCCAATATCAATTTAATTATGAGTATTAAAAATAAAAAAATAAGGTGTCTCAAGCGCAGTAGTAAAGTACTGACTTTCCATGAGGAAGGTCCAGGACTGAAGGCCAATTAAACAAAAAACACAAAATAACCATTTTTTTTATAAGTTAGTAAAAGTCATAAATTAGTTTAAAAATAGTTAGTTATTATTATATACATAACCTCTAAATTAATTTTTAAAATTTATAGATTTGTAGCAGAGAGTCGTAGAAAAAAATGCATTGTACAACTCAAGTAGATTGTTCTTATCGAATTCACATGATTAGGCACTCTACCTACGACACATGCTCAAACTTCGTCTTCGTGCCAGATTTACCAGTCTAAATCAGCAAAAAAATAAATAACACAACACACAAAATAGCCCACTTTCTTGAAAATTAAATAACTTTAACAAGGAATATAAACACACTACAACAAGTCGTTGAGAATAAATTAATGTGATTTTCTATTTGTCAATAAAATAATAAAGTTATGCCTATGAAACTAACAATACAAGAAAGTAATATTAGTTTAGTAATTTTTTACCAAAACATAATTTTATAAATAATTAGTCAAAATTAGAAAAAAATAACACGTTACAAAAGCGCTATTTTGTGTAACTCGTTCATGTTGCGAGACCTCGCTCTGCTCGACCCGCAAATATTGACAAATTACATAAAATAAGGCATTTCGTAACTGGTTGCATAAATATCTATTAGAAATTCTAAAATATATGTAAAATAGTTTACATATAAATACGCAGAACAGAATTAATATATAAAAAGTAGATGAATAAAAGCTGTAAAATAATAATTACTTTTTTTGAAGGGGGGAAGGAGGCAGAATCTTGCAGAACACCCAATGTCTTTAATGGCGAGGAGCCGCCACTGTATTTTTTATTTTCAATTACTAACAAATACACTGACATTTAGTTTAACAGAATTGTCACTTATTTAAAATTTAAATAAAAAATAATAGTAGCCGGGTGACCAAAATATGAACTGTTATTGAGAGATTTAATATATTGGTTCAGTTGAGCGCAATGGCATACATTTTCGTTTTGTAGCCTGTGCATAGAATAGCTAATATCCATGTCGGTGTAGAAAATAGTAGTTTGTGCAACAAGAGTGGATATGATAACCATATCGCACGAAGAGGAAGTTTGAACACGACGTCGTAGGTTACCTACATTTCTTTTATTTTCTGCAAATAAAAATAAGTAAGCGCAAAAGTAACTTTAGCGAGCTAGAGCGCCAATAATGTCAAATTATGACAAATCGCGTAAAATGTAAAATTTCCAGTTAGATTTGAATGTCAAAAAGCCTACTTTGGATAGTGATCGTAGAAAAAAATTGTCTGATATTCCTAAAGGATTTAAAGATAATGAACTATCAATTTTAGACATTGAATTGCTCCTATACTTACTGTTGATCTCTAATATTGGGCAATGTGATTAAATGTGTTTTAAGATCTTATTTTACCATATTTCAAGCAGTTTTACCTAATTCTTCAAAGACTAGCCCTCTTGACATATCAAGCAAAGCTAAATAACACAAAAATTGTATTTTTTTAAACTTTGAATGCTGAGGAGTTGGATTTCTGTTTCACTTTTATTAGGTAATCAATTTCTGTTCACAGAGCCATGTCACAAAAGATATCTCTTCACTATTTAAATAAATTTATGAACAAAATAACAACAATAAGTTTAACAGTTCTACTTTTGTATAACACTTTTTTGCATCCCTTTCCACAAGAAGCTTTTCAACATTGTTTTTGGCAACCTGTTTCAAATGAAGGAAGGCTTTCTACATTCAAAGATTCAGAAAGACTGTTGTTATATGGTATGAAATTGTTCTTCTCATTCTCTTTTTATTTCGTTTATTACATAGCGCATAATTTGTAGACATTAATAAATTACAATTATTATTTGTCTATGAATACACGTTCGTTGTTTCAATAAATTTTTATTAAATGACCAATTGAAGGACGTGAGATTCAAAATTGAATATAAATGAAACTCCCATGAGTGTTTGAAATGAAAGCGGATGGGGCCACGTATCATCCCATTATGCACATTTCCAGAAATGTACGTGTAAGTGACGGAGACGGGGTATCATTCGTCTCATTTGGACGGGATTGCCAGGAATATAAATAATAAACTTGACGAGGACACGGCTGTACGGAATTTCATCAGGTACAGCTCTCCCAGCTTCTATCCCGGAGGTTGAGGATATATTGTCATGATTAATCGCGGCGAATCATTAATTCTGTCAAGTGACATACGCCACTGTGCTGGGTCACTTAATTCATTATCTGAGAACTGGAAGTTTCGTTAGCGTGGCATTAAGTAAATATTATAGAAGAATCTCTACCCATTTACGACGACAACGCTTGGGAATGTTGTGCAGTCGTTAGCGTATCATATTCCAATTTAATTTATTGTATGCAGGGAGTCCCGGAAATAAAAAAGTTAATTTTAACCACTAACAGAACAATTAGACATTCCAACGTCCTATAAAAAAATCCAATATTTTAGTACGTGTTAACACAAAATTTTGTTTACATATTTGTCCAAGTAGTTTGTGTACATTATTATCTTAAATAATAACAACTTTGTGCTTTTGAGAGTGGATTTAAAACAAAATAAGTGTTTAATTACTAGCGAGTTGAATCATTTTTGAACAAAAATAACTCAAAAAAGCAATTCGGCTTCCAGGGTAACAAATCAACTGAAGATTCTAGCAGAGCTCACAAAACAATTGTATACATCAAATGCCCATAGTAAGCCATCAATAGCTGTATTTCTGGATCTTGCCAAAGCATTTAACACTGTTAACCATCAACAATTATTGAAAGCATCAGAAAATGCAGGAGTAATAAGGGGTAGTACGCTTAAGCTTAAGTGTAAAAGGTGTAAAATATAGAATACCCGAAGGCACAGTACTAATAATTTATTTTCTGAGTAATATCTGGTCACTTTCTGAAACCTTATTTACTGCTTTTGGGTGGACACTTTTTGAGATAAACAACCATATGAGATTGTCCTCATTTCCTCCACACTTCATACTTTTAATATAGGTACCGAATTTAGGCCAATAACGGTTCAACTTATTAGATTTTCGCTCTCTAGTGATATTGTTAAAGAATTCCAAAGAGTTGTCACATAAGGTATTAACTCGAAATGATTAAGTGTTATTTTTAGTTGAATAAAAAGCCCTGAAAAGACGACACGAGAAGTTATAATTAACTACTTAGAATGGACAAATAAAAAAAGTTGGTTTATAGGATTCTTGGCTCAACAAAAATTGATTTTTTTATCATATAAGTTATTGCATAAAGTACCGAAATTCTCCGTAATTATTTAATTGTTAGATTAAATTAATCCAAGAATTAATCAGTTCAGAAAGTAGGTACCGGGTCAATCCTAAAAATGACGGAAATAGATAAACAAATTTTCTTACAAATAACTCTAGAACATCGAAAAATGCTCAATAATTGTATAACTCTTTCAAACGGGAGTCTGATGAGCGATTGCCAAGATGACAAGAACAATTATTATTTCGAGAACTACATATTTATAAAATTGTTTCGCTTATCAATATTCTTCTGTTATTCCTAATAAAAATGAATGAATTCCATACTTTACGCAACACTGTATATTCACGCAACTTGGATCATTGTCATAAAATAAATGCTTCTCTATCGTTAACATCCACATACCAAGCAGCCCAAGCCACCTCTGCACGTAAACGTGGCTTTTAAATATTCAGCGTTGCCAATGTCCTATATTCGATTAAAGAAAACAGAGCAAAAAATAAAAGTGTCAGTCTAAACAAAAAGCACAAGTGTTCCATACGTTCTATGTTTTTAAATAATAATTATGAATTTTGAATATCGGAAATTTCATTATATTTCTAAATTTTTCACACCTCTACAACACCTGCTATTGAAAATAATAATTTACGAATATTAAAATAAATGTATATAACGCTGGCAACGTTGTGTTGAACTCAACAACCCATTATTTCCAGGGCAAGAAACATGCGCCGTATCGTTTAGTTCGGGTATTGATCAATAGATGGCTAACACAAACGATCCGAGATTTCGTGTTTTAGAACGTAAATACTTCTTGTTCATCAATAAATTGTGAGTCTATTGTTAAATTGTAGCTTTTAAAATAATTAATTAATCTAACGTTACGGGAAATTAACAAAATAAATGTGATTTTAAAGTGGAGGGGCGAGGTAGATGATCGCGACGTTTTTAAGGTGCCGCTGTCATATTTATTGTGCGATGTTGCTTATTTCCTGTCGTTGAAATGTCATTAAGATTTTTAATAAGCAAGAAGAGGACTTTCCCCTATGAAACAAAAATGAGAAGCTGTGTAGTGCAAAAGAAAGATAACTCGCAAAAAAGACTTTTCGAAGAAATAGTGAACGGTAATTACCCTTCGCGGGCCGTGAACAAGATGAACGGGAATACCTTGGAAAACTTTGTTTTGCGTCTTGTAGAATTTACATCTGTGAAGATGGGCGCGAAATCTAAAAGTGATCTTGAACTATTGAATTGGTGGCCCTGGCCCGGTGACGTATCCAATTACAAATCTAACAAGAAGGACAAGGACTTTCGGGGAAATTTGAAAAAGGTCGTAATAGACTGTTGTGCACTCTTCAGAGGCTTCAATGAAAAATGGCTTCCTCGAGCTCTTCCGTGGGTAAACGACGAAAATTTCGATATCGTGCAAGTCAAGGCCGAGAAAAGAAAAGCTAAAGTTCCTCAGGAAGTACCACCGAATAAGAAACGAAAAACTTTACTGCCTACAATTACAAAAGAGGTGACCTCGGAACCTTACATAAGTATATCCAGGTAAGTACCTATTCTTAGTACCCCTATGAGTTTGCCATAAATTACACCTAACAAAAATATGTTGTCAGCATTTCGTAAGTTTTGAAGGTCTGCTTTGACTTCAAATTCAATCAATAGGATTAAATGGGTCAAGTATTTATTTTCTTTGAGTTGACCTACATAAATGTAAAGTAACATTTTTGCATGGTCATCCATAGTGCAAATATCCGTTAGGTACTGATACTTTCATTGTATTATTAACATTGAATAAGAATAATATACTAGGCATTTGAATTAAAGAATCATTTAGCAAAATTAGATTTGAAGGTTTTTGTTTTAGAATGGATCTAAATGTTATTAAAATGGTAAATGTATTTCAGTATGTAAATATATTTACTTATTTTTATGTAAATTTATAATAAAAATAGGATGGGAATTATATTATTAACTTTCGTCCTTATAAGTATTTGCATAAAATTAAGTAATTCAATCACAATAGTTTTTATAAACAAATACATAATTTTGTTTAATGTTGGCAACATTGTTTTAACTCATCATCTCAATAAAATATTTTTTATTACCTTTAACACCTACACTGCCATATGTTAGGATCCAGGTTAGGATCCATCTAAACTAATTTAATAGGCAATGCATCTATCTGAATGTTCTAATAAATTATATTTTAATTAAAATGTATCTGGTAAATGTCTAGTTTGAGATCTTTTCGATAATGGAAAAAAAAAGCATACCTACGTACTTGTAGGAAGGTATTGCTATTTTAAACAAAAAACCTAAGTTTTATGTCTGAAAATTAATAATAAAGACACAAATATTTTTTTAAATAAAAATATGCTATTTTTATCAATTAATATTACCAATTTTACTGGAAAGGAAGTGAATAGGGGTGGGTAAAACAATGTCAATAGCTATATTATAAAATATTTTTAGGCAAAGAAAATTATTAGAAATAAATTGCTGTATTTTTTATAATAAATAATTGGATAGTAAACTTGTGAAATATTTTTATTTAAAAATTTAATTGTGTTGTTATTTTCATTTACACAATATACTTATGGAACTAAATTTTTTTATTTACAATAGTGATACCTGCAAGGACGTATGCTTAGATTTTCCATAAGCGAAAAGAGTACTATTGGGCCTATTCTGTAAAAATTTGGTTAAAATTAACCATGGGTTATAAAAATAGCAGGATGTTATTTTTAATTTAGTATTCTGTATTATTTTGTCAAAATTATAACTTATGTCAGTAATGATTATATGTCAAATATATTCTTTTCTTATTTTTAAAGCTGTGTAGGGCTTAATTTCAATTCACTTTCACTCATTGCCATATCTATTTTAACTGCGATTGGCTATAAAATAGTTAATAACACAAAATTAAATCAAATAGAGTTGGATTAAAATTTAACCATCAAAGTTATAAATAAGCTTTTAACCTGGAGGTTAAAATTTTCTAAAACATTACAGAATAGACACCTATGTCAGTAATAAATCTAGTAATGATTATATCTCAAATATATTCTTTTTCTTATTTTTAAAACTGCGTTGGGCTTCATTTCAATTCACTTTTAGTCGTTGCCATGTCTATTTTAACCGCGATTGGTTATAAAATAGCTAATAACACAAAATTAAATTGATTGCATATTGAATAGAGAATTGGATTAAAATTTAAACAAATGTGACAGTTAAAATTTACTAAAATGTTACAGAATAGACCCCTATATATAATGTAGGTACATAACTAAATAAAAAGAATGCAATTCAAATAATCTACTAATTCCTTAATGTTATGCAACTGATCCAATGATGCCAGCTTCATAAAATGTATTTACCACATATTTATTAATAACGAGTATGAGGTAAAATATGTGGTACAGATTTTATATCAATTATTTCATTCAATTTGCTAATGATTAGTATGTCCTTTTTAGAAGCATTTGCTAATGATTAGTATGTCCTTTCTAGAAGCATTTGCTTAATTCTGGTTTCTGAACTTTGGTTCGATATTATTAAAATGAGATTCTGTTTATATCGATTTTTGAAAATGGTATATAAAATGTTTTATCAAGTAGTGTAATAATTTATTACATATCAAGCGGGGAAGTACTTTATTACAGCCGAGCGTCTAGGTAGATTAGTGAGGTGCGAAACACCGAGGTAAGCTATAGATGGGAGGCTAGAATGAGTTCCCATGAGATATGTTTATGATTTTACTCACAATTTCACAATCTACTATTAGCAATTTTATATAAGTTTCAAATAATAATAATAATATTGGTATTAATTTCTATCATAATTTGATAAAAATGTTTAAGGAAGCTATGAGACTGTTGGTAGACAATGGCTAAAAGTTTGGTTGAATCTGACAGTTTGATAATTATTTTGCCAGTTACATATTAAACGGCACTTTTAATAAAAGTGTCTTTATATAGGTACTTGCAAATAATATGCCGGTCAGTTAATTTAAATGTTTTTCAACAGAACTGCAAAAAGCTACCTACAGCATGATTCTGGAAAAAAGCAGGCAGGGAAATGAAAACACTTATGAAGAATACAGTGACATTTTTTAGCCAGCAAAGTGACACATGCTAACCGGGAAAATTATTTTCCTGGCTAGCAATTAGCAAGTAAGCAATTTGTTTCCAATTTGTCTCCAAGGCTTTAAATCTACCGACTACTATCCAATTATGAGTAAAGCTCGGAGTCAAGTTAATTTATTTGGAACAAGCCAACTTTTTACTATGTGTTTAACAAACCCTTTAATAGTTGCTTTTCTTTTCACAATTTCTCAAATACCTACTTAATATCTGCAAACAGTTGAAACTATAGTCATAATATTGTAATAATTTGACGATATAGTCCCTCATCTGACTACAAAAAGTGGCTATAAGGGTATGGACTGTATTTCAATAAAAGAATAACTTAATAAAAAAAACTAGTTTTTAAACTTTACTTTTAAACAAGTGAAGAATATGGTCAAATGACCGATACAAATATATACCAAAAAAATGAAGTGATCTAGGATAAAATGTCATCATTATTGTTTCTACAATTATTGCACTTATATGTGCATGCGTGTTTTAAAACCAATTTCCAGCCTTTCAGTATATTAAAAAATATCATTTCCTGTTTATGTTTATTTTTAAAAACATGGATGATCAATCTATATAACTCATATAACTGTCTATAACATTGACCCTATCAAATCATCAGGCACACAGTGTTGCTATATTATAACCTGTCTGAGGCCTGTCATTTCAAACAGGCAGCCATTTTATTTGGAATGCCTAATATCATTCAGAAACTAGGCGTTTAAGCTATATCCGAGGCTATATCCTAAATTTCGTTAATAACCATAAATATCCTATCACGTGTCCGAAATTCCTACCAGAAGTAGCAAAACTGGACAACAGAAAAAGCTTGCAAAGGGAAAGTGTCACTTTTTGCAGTTAGATGATGGACTAACATATTGATTGATTATTGGATTAAAACCATTAAATAGTAATGATTCTAACGTTAGGTATGATTTATTATTTGTTTTGATTTTGATAATTATGTATTTAAAAAAATATTAATATTATTATTATTGTTTAGAACAGGAAAGCGACATAGTCGAAGCTGCTCCTTTAGTTAGTGACAAAAATTATTCTAAATCACTACATGACAGTTAAAATCCATTGCACTATAAACTATAATGAATAAAACTATTTTTTCTTTCTTCGAGTTCTATATCCACTCTCGCCTTGAACTGGTTTATGTTCTGGGCTGAGACTATATTGCTGGAGACTGTTCCACAGATATACAATTCTGTTTGTTACGAAATTTTTTCTTTGTAGATTATTACACTTTTCTTTATCTAATTTCTTCGAGTGACCTCTCAAGGTTCTTGATATAATGGCCTGGAAGATGTTATCACAGGTGTAATATACACTGGTCCACTTGTAGGTTTCTATTAAGTCTCCTCTAGTTCTTCTATCCTTTAAACTTGTAAGTTGTAGTTTGGCTAGCCGATCACAACACTCATGGTTTTTTAGGGTTGGTGGTATTTTGGTTACTCTCCTTTGTACTCTTTCCCAAGACCCTTTTGTGTTTCGACTGGAGTAATTGCGTTTGTATCTAAGGTGTACTGTGTGTGGGGATTATTTGGGCCTATGTGCAATCTGTACACTTGTTTATGTTGAGAGGTAGTAGCCATTGTTGGGACCAGATTCCTATTTTATTCAAGTCTTGTTTCATTTTGTGAGAGCTTTCCAGTGGCTTACATCGTCTGCATAAAAGTTAGCTTCAGACTCGATGATTTTGCATAAATTGCTGGTATATAAAATAAATAACAGGAGACCCAAGACCGAGCCTTGTGGTACTCCACTTTTAACTGGATGGTTTTTTGACAGCTGTCCATTTATTCTTCCGTAGAACTGCCGGTTGAGTAAGAAACTCTTGATCCACAATAATAGATTGCCTCTTATTTACTAAGCAGCCTTCTATGTGGAACTTTATTAAACGCTGTCTCATAATCAAGATATATCACATCAGTTGGCTGGTTGTTGTCATTCCACGTAATCTAATCTAACTTTTGGTTAATTAAGAATGGGCAATCTCTGAACTACAGATAGTAAATAGTAAAATATGAAGATTTACTTCAAATGCCTTATAAGGGTGTTGCTGATTTAGGAGATACATTCAAGGGGAAAATTTTATTGTAAAATTTCTCAAAAATTATAAATGTTACCAGCATGAACATAAAATTTGGTAGGTTTAGGTTTTCTGACATCAGAAATACGAATTTGTAACAGGTATAATTAGACGTTTGTGCCATTTTTATTGCACAAATTCATTTGATCAATATCGCTTTTTATCGCCTATTATTACAGAACTAACGATTCTGCTTGTTACAATCAATCACATGACTATATAAACAAATGTAAATCTTAACTAAAATAATTAACAATCTGCATAACACTTTCTACCGATTAGAAATTTTAATCCTTTCTAAGAAAATTGAGGGCTACTTAATTGATCTTGAATTTTAAATATTTTCTACCTGTAGAGATTGCATACTTACGTTATTTTTGTTGATTAACATTTCCAGAAAATTTAAGAGAAGAATTGAAATAAATTGGTATTTTTAAAAATTTTAGGAAGAAAACTAAAGATTTTATTTTAGAACAAATAATGCCAAACATTTTATTTTAGAAATTATATTGGGGTTTATCTCCTGGGCCATTAAAATTTTTGCTATCATTAATTTTCAAATAAACTATTGGACTTGATAAAAATGTAATATAAAAAATGTATTTAATAAATACAAACTACTCAATTTATTATTGTTTTTTATGGAACTATGAAATATATTTTACTCTTCAACTACTAGTTGCATAAATTTAGGTGCATTGCCTTTTAAAAATACAATAATCATTCAAATAGCGGTAATTTCAGATTTGAAAAAGTGGAACTATTTTCTTTCAGATATAACTCGCAGGAAGTAACAAGTCCGAAACCCGTAAACCAAACCGAATTCCTCAACTATTTCGAACTTAGTTTAAACAACAATGATATCCCGAAAGCTACCCAAGTGCCAAACAACTCAAGAGTCATCAGGCTACAAAACTGTCCGCACGTTCCATTCTCGTCCAACGTCGGTCAACTCTTAATGAAAAAGGAAAATTGTTCTGTACCGGATAATGTGACCGAACGAAAAATCGATAGGATTGAATGGTACATCAACAGAGAATCTCCAAATCCAAAGACTGTCCAAAATCTCAATTACGAAACTAGTTACGTGCCTAACAAGAACTATACCGAACATGATTTCAGATTCCCTAAACGACAGTACCATCAAGTGCTTGGCAACAGACACTATACCAAATACATTTACGGGATCTGCAAACCCCTAGATATCGATGTCGAAAATGATGATCTTGTAGAACTTAAGGCGAAATACGATAAATTAAAAATGAAAGTGAAAGTGAACAAATTGTCCGCTAAACAACTCAAAAAGTACGTGTGTAAAGAAGCTAAAATTGTGATAGAAAAAAAGAAAATTAATACAAAATCGGATGAACTTTTCTCCAAAGTTGCTAAGGTTACTTTGAGGAACAAGCAAGTGTCCAAGAACGCGAAAATCGTTTTAGAAAGATCGAATTTAAAAAATGCGAAAACGAAAAATTCCGCCACAAGAAAACGAAGGTAATATAAGGTTTGTTGCGGGTTCTGTATGTAGAATTTTACGTATGGATATCTTGAGTGTACAGGTTGACTAAAAAGTCTGACAGAACGCTTAAATTTTAGAGACTAAAATATGAGGTGCTAGCCCAATTGGTCTCAGTCCAAAAGTTGATGGTTTCCAAACTACAACGTGTCAAAGTTGTTTTTTTTTTATAATTATTTGTAAATATTTATCTTAATATGAAATTTGATATTTGTGGTTTTTCAGTTTTGGTGTATATTGCAGAGGGCGCCACCATCACCACTTCATAACGTTTTTTGTGCATCAGTACATTTCTAGTTAAATTTTTTATTGCTTGGCATTGTTTTGGCCAGAAAAGGTATATCTAGTAGGGGTCGCTACAAGCAGCCTTTTCTTACAATGAAAAAAATATAGGAATAAACTAACTATGAATAGTAGGAATAAAATACCAAGTCAATAACAAACCTTTAAATTTGTACCAATTCAAAAAAAGGTAAAACTGAAAAATTGTTCAAAATGACGTTTTCTTATACAAAAATTAAGTCTACGTACAAAGTTAAACTGCATCCTCTCCAAAATGTCTGCATTTAACCATAAAATATTCACTGAATTTTGTAATTTCGCCCAATATTCTTCGTTTTTTACAGGCGTAGAGTATACCATCCCCATAAATAATCTTCCATATCCGTTAAATCCGGTGAGCGAGGTGCATCTTATTCTCTACTAGTGTGCTAATTGTTTTTGAAAACTCCCATTTAAACGATTTATAACATTTAATGTGAAGTGTAGGGGCGCACCATTGTGCATAAACCACAAATTTTGTCTAATAGCCATTGGAAGATCATCCAATAAATTTTACAAAACTAGGCATTCAAGGTCATTTAAAAAATAGGTAAATATGACACAACCAATAATAAATCTGTCAATTATTTCTGCCCGTGCGTTATTTTTAAATGCAGGTGGCATGCAGGTTTTCGTCGGCATAAAAGTGTTCTTTATGTTAATTTGTCACACATCTTACAAAACAACATCTGGGAGAGAATCACTCCGGAAATACTGGGATATTTTTTCACTCGAAATCATCACGAAAATTCCGAAAGAAATCATCACCAAAATCACTTTGAAAAAGTCAATAAATCATTCATTGGAAATTATATGACGATTTCGGCGTAATTACCGAAATCGTAAAACACCGAAATCATGGGTGATTTTGCCAAAATAATTCCAAATTTTGGTGATTTGCGAAATACTAATACGTTTTGACCATAGCGGTTTACCCCTCAACAGTACTCACCAATAAATATTTTTTTATGTTGGATGTCTGTATCGAAAAAGGTATTGGATCCAAAGTATCGATACCGATATTGGATGTACTTTGGACATTGTTAGAACAACATCAAAAAATATCGTTGAAACATATAATAAATACCAATAAAGTGATATGGTATTAAATTATCATGCCTCGAAAGAAATTTTTCAATTCTGGTTGAGTGAAGGGCGGCTCCATGATGAATTTTCATAGGGGGCCATGGCCCCTATGACCCCCCCGGAACCGCCCTTGGGTTGAGTGATAAGAGTTCTTGTACTGTCTGGAAGTGGAATGAATGCAACAGGTCTTCCTTTAAAGTCCTATTCACTGAATTTTTAGAAAGTCCCAAGTTTCAAATATAGGTGCTTAGACTCGGATCTTCAACTCGTTAATTTCTTCTTCAACCTTCGCTGTCCTAGTCGTAGGATTCTTCCTATTCAACCATTGCAGGAGCAAAACTATCGTTTTCTCGAAGTCGCCTGTGAACGGCAAATGTTTGGTTTACTTTTTTTTTTTTGTTTGTACAAACGATGCCAAGGAATAAGATTTTTTAACTATAAATTTAATATACCGATGCAAAAAAAGTTATGATGCTCTAGATATGGGCGAACATGTGTTCAGATCTCGATTACTCGACCTAAAAAAACCAAGTAACAAATTTCATGCAATCATGCTATTATTAAAATAAATATTTACAAAAAATATTAAAAAATCATAAATTTGACATTCTCTATTTTGGAAGCGTATCAACTTTTGAACTAAGGTAAATTGGGCTAAACCTCATATTTTAGCCTCATACTTTAGAGCTAACGTTCTCTACAGATCTTTTAGAGACAACCTGATTTTTTTTATAATAATAATCCCTTTAGTAAAACAAACCTAGTTTTGTTGTACTAAACAACGTAATAGTTTATTTTAACGTTAAACTTGTTTGTATTAATTGATTTTTATTTTTATAACACTCTAGTGTTAATGCAATATTTACGAAAACTCACTGGAGTGTCTAAAAGTAAAAATTGCCGCTTGACTCCGGATAGGTTTCAATTTATTTTGAATCTGCATAGTTTATTCACATATCAAATTTTTTAAAAGGATTTTAACACATTGACAGTACCTGACGATCAAAATATCGTTTATAGTTTGTTATTAAAATTATTTTGTTAAATTTACATGGTGCCCACCATTTATTATTTTACTCAAAAATACTGTTTCACTCCGAATGAACCCAAACTTTTCAGCTTGAAAAGCTAATGTATGCTGTGTATTGCACTTAGTATCTTAGCCTCAAGAGATTGTTCCAATTATCGATTCTTCTATTGCCCAGTTCTTCTTCCAAATCATTTTTGACTTTCTGACATCTCCAAATCATTTTTGAGTTGATTACGCCCTTTGATGGCTCCTTGGTTATCAGACATGATTATAATCTCATGTCTGCGATAGTTTCTCTCGATGTTGAACTGAGCACACTTCTCAATGGCATGAATTCAAAGTATCTGATTCTAGACCCAGTACACTCCTATTTCAGTTTCATCTGTGGTTTTGGAACTATCCATATACCACTGAATTGTTTGCTTTTCGGTTACAAATACGATATATTCTTAGCTCTATTCTTTCCTGTAGCCCAGCTCTGTGGTTTTGAAGTTTTTCACAAAACTACTTCATTCTCATTTCGTCCTGGGACATATTCAAAGTATCTTTGGTCCGGACCTAACATAGACTCATGATTACTCTGTTTCTGGTCATTCTATATCTGGTCCGTTTTGCCATGTTCTCTATTATTAAATGTACTCGTAGAGGGGCGAGGTTTAAGACCACCTTTATTGCGGCCGTAGGACATGTTCTCCTTACACCGGTGATGCAAACAATCATTACTGATTGACATAAGAATATCTATGGACTTTGAGAGTTTTTACTAACTCTAGGTATGTAAACACAAAGCCATAGAAATCATCAAATTGATTAAAAATATACCTTAATGGTTCTTAGTGCGCCGTCTTCTATATGTTACTAATTGGCGCCCAACTTTTTTTATATAGGTTCATGAAAGACAAGAAAACAATATAATTTCTAATTAAAAAAACCAAAAAAGGTTGACAGCTGTGTGCACGTAGTTTAGATTCAAAAAGGAAAAACTTGTATTTCGTGCAAAACTTTTTTATTAATGCAAAGCGCTTTCGGCTTATTTGCCATCATCAGTGCTCATTGTCCACAACGTATCCAACAAGTTCCTGGTCATCCTCACTCCCAAAATTATAAATTTCGGGATGTTTACAACTTGCTAAATCATAATTTTATTAATATTAATATTTTCAAATTTAAATTTATCTCATTTTGGTTCAAGTTGTTTAACCGTTTCCACATGACAGTGGTCGCTTGTCACCACTGTCATGTGGAAACGGTTAAACAACTTGAACCAAAATGAGATAAATTTAAATTTGAAAATATTAATATTTATAAAATTATGATTTAGCAAGTTGTAAACATCCCGAAATTTATAATTTTGGGAGTGAGGATGACCAGGAACTTGTTGGATACGTTGTGGACAATGAGCACTGATGATGGCAAATAAGCCGAAAGCGCTTTGCATTAATAAAAAAGTTTTGCACGAAATACAAGTTTTTCCTTTTTGAATATAATTTCTATTAACAAATAATAAACTATTAATATCTTTAGGCATACTGGTGCCAATTTATTTTAAATAGACTGTCAATGTCTTAAAATTCCTAATGTAAACAAAATGTCCAAACCTATACAAGTGCTATGAAATGTACATAATTGAAGCAAGCAATATTCCTTTATGAGTATATTATTATTATTGACATTATTTTATGACTACAAAACGAAAAGTATACCAAAAATATTATTAAATATTAAGCTTAAATTGTGTAGAAGACTTTTTGAGTACAAAATGACAAAAAAAAGACATCAAAATTTTTGAAAATACATGTACAATAATTATTCAACAAAAAAAAAATTCTTTAAAAAAGTTTAGTTATAAAATATAAAAAAAATAAGTAGAACATATAAATATCAATATATTAAATTTATAGTAAAGCTCACTTAATTTTTTTTTAATCGTACAAACTCAGTGGAAAATATTGTGGCAAAATTTACGAGAAAAAGTAGCAACCCATGTTACTATGATGGGCAAGTGAAAAGGCCGATACAGTAATCATGTAACGTAGACAGCTATAGTTGCTACATGAAAATTGCAGATTTCTACTCTCTCAAAAAACGCGACAAATCCTAATTTTACCGCGAAACGTAACCTTACAAAAATCGAAACTTAATTATTTTTATCAACTCCATTTTAAGAAATTTGCTGAGCTTCCACGTTTGATTTCTAATTTAATACGTTTCCGGCCACAATATTTTCTTGAGATTAGATATTGTTACATTCGCAATACATGCAGGCTGTCCCAACATTACTATGAACGCACTTAAAAGTCCACTGTCTTTCTGCTGATTGTTTCTGATAGTGCGGATTTTCTTTTGAACAATACATGCCTTTTGTGTTAGTAGCTTTAAAAGTTAAATCATGTTGAAAGTAATTTTTTATTGAAATGGTATAACGTTGTTTAATAGGGATGACGTCTTTTAGTGTAGCCCTTCTAGTAGTTAGTTCCAACAAGAGTTCAAATCCGAACCAACTTCAAACTGAATATCTGATTGTAAAAGCAGTATTCCTAGTTCCAACAAATATTTTGATGTATTTTAGATCATGATCAAAGCGTCCGACTGGTTTGTAAACCTTTGAGTCTGCGTAGATCGATGATAAAACATATTTGATAAATTACCTACAAGTGAAGATAATTTAGTGCAAGCAGAGGAAGTATTATTATGTGAAATAAGTTTTTGTAGAATATTTTTAAGTACATATAACTTAAATGGTAGGATAGATAGCAAATAACGTTTGTGCATAATGACAAAGATGCTTTCAGTCAGAAAATGGTTTACAAACAGTCACACTCGCACAATAAATAGATCAGAGATAAATAATCAGATCTAGAACCTAGTTCTTTCCAAAGCAAAGCAAATACATAGTATATGCTCTGCGGATTCGTCTTCCACGCTGCATAATCGATAACCCAACGTCGCCTAGACGACAATGTATTATTATTAGTTGGGCATAAACGCCTTCGATTGAGTTAGCCCTTGAATATTTCTAGTTCATGAGTGTTACACCCTCTGCCCATTTTGAGATAATTCCTTTGGCAGTGCTCTTTGCGAAGTCAAGGATGCACTGAAAAGTGTTTGTTTATATAGCTCCAAAGCAGCTTTGAATCAACTCTGTTGGATTTCAGGGCTTTGAGGGCTGACTGGCTATCCGAAAAGATCGTTATAGTCTTATTAGCAGGGAGAAAATTAATCATCTCTCTCGCTCCCAATTCTAAAGCGATAATTTCTGTTTGGAAGATCAGGTGTCTGTCGGAGACCATCCTGGCATGCTGCAACACATGTATTTTATGCATTTTTTTTAACATATTCTCGAATGCCCTTAATATCTCTTCCATATATGTTGTTTTCTATTTTCACACATTAAAGGAACTGTGGGATTGGAACCTTAGTGCATATTCTTATTTTAGACACTATGGTTGAATGTTTTCTAAGGAAAACAATTTTAGTATAAACAAATTTAAATAATAATTAGGCATTTTGTCGTAGCTTTCTCGCGATAATTTTGGGACATCCTGTATATAATAAAATTCAAATTTTATTTAACGTTAAATTTATTTGATGAGCCTTAGGTATATTATAATTATATGATAGAGTATGTATTTATTTTGTAACATAAGACCCTTCCCTCAGATATTTTTATATTGCATATATATTTAATGTTTAGGTGTTAAGGTAATACGACAAATATTTAGTACTCCCTAAATTGTGATTTTCGCCATTATCTCAGTTCTTGGTTATAATTAGGTTTTTATTTTTTTTTTTACGAATTTTTACTTAGGTTTGACCGGGTATCTGCTGGTAAGTATATTTTTTAAAGTTAAAAGGTAGATACCGTTAGAGTTGTTTTAAATGTTGAAAACCAATGGGTATATTTCCATTCATAGAATTCCCCATTAGCTGGGTTCCGATTTTTAATTATTCATTACCAATTTTCTTTGAATACATTTTAGTTTTGCAGGATTTATTACTCCATGTATAGTACCATCGGTACTTTAACCATTCAAGATACATATCTTAGGGTAAAAACATAGTGGAGTCGTTTACGTCGCCGCGCAAGTTGCCGCGCGTTGATACTGAAACAACTTTTATATAAATAAAAGTTCTTGTGTTAAATCGATCATAAACAAATTTTTATTTATTAAACCCTACAAACGCACATAAAAGAACTTAGCGCTTAATAAATAAAAACTTGTTTATGACTGATTTAACCAAAGAACTATTATTTATGTAAAATTTAACTACGGTCAGGAAAAATGAAACGTAACTGTTCTATTCACGCCGCCGTTGACCAATCATGGAGCTGGTTTTGGACAGCTGCCTGCAGAAAAAGAAATAATTGTTTTTCTCAAGGTACGAGGAGAAGTGGATTACTCCTGTATGTTTCTGCTTGTGCATTCTACTGAATTGATCAACTATTTCCGTACGACCAGCAGCACGGCGATATGACCTATGTTTTTACCTTTTCGGAAATTTATTTTCAGTAAAAATTGCTTGTTGAAGTATTAAAAATGGAACTTCCAGTGTAGTGCGCTTTCAGGTTACAGAGAGGCAATAAAATTTCTTGAATTCATAGTGGACTGGGAGACGAAAAAAACCTTTAAATTTGAATACCAAACTTTGCCGAACGTCTATTTGGCACCTAAAATTAAAGCAGAAAAATTAATACAAGCAAATTTTTAATTTTGTTTGCAGATACTGATTACGCAGTCCACTTTGATTTCTAATGATTTTACGGTGCTTCTGTGACATATATGTTCACTATGTAAATAATGTTACATACAGAATTAGCCTCTTTGCAAAAATTATTGTATTCTTATACAAAAAAATATCTTAAACTTTCGTTTTTGATAAAGGAAAATTGAACTTTGAATATAAAAAAATAAAAACAAAAGTTTTACCTCTTTGTTTTACCACTAATAATTGGCGTCTTAAGGGAAAAATTTAAACTGTTTTAAAAAGAACATTCACAAATAATTTAATCTACCATCGATGAAGTAAACAGGTACCACAAATAATGTTATATAGGGTGGTTTGGTAAATAAATATGACGTACTTAATATCAAAATGTTTTTTGGATTAATTCAAAAGCCCACTAAAATTCTTCAGTAGCACACTTTTTAAAAGTAGGGTTAACCGTGGGAACTGTAAACAGTTTTGATAAAGTAAGGTTCCCCCAGTCTTGAATTGAAGAATTGAAAAGTGTTAAATATAAAGTTGTCATTTTAAATAGGCATATATTCTAAGGTATATTCTACATAAATTTCAATTGTCAACTTGAAAAAATAAATTAAAAAAAATTTTAATGTTTACAATTCGAGGATTTTTTTTCGTTTTTGAGAATTTTGGGGTGATGGTAAACAAAATTCGAGGTAAATGTAAACGAAATTATTCTTCTGTATTGACTCCTACATTCGAATAGGTGGGGTAGTATCGAACAAATTATATTAAAATTAATTTGCATCAGTTCAAGTCGTAATTTAGTTGTTCACATTTACCCCATGATAAAAATGAAAATTCTAAACAATGAAGCTGCATACCTTTAATGTTATTATTTGAAGCGAAATACAGTTTTCAAATATATAGCAGGTAAATTTATACCTACAAACATATAATAATACATCAAAATACATAATTATGGTTTCTCGAAGACGTCTATTGTTCCAGGAAAAGAACAAATCATTTTACGTTTTTCGAATTTAATTTCAGGCTGAGAAAGAATGGCTACAACAATGTCCATTTGTATGAAAGGTTCCTCACTCTCATTAATATAAAAATCAGAGCAAACTTCATTGAGCGCTCGCAATCCCACAACAGCAATTTCGTGATCTTCTTTGTCTTTCTCTTTAACTGTACAGACGTATTTGTAAGTAGTCGCTTTTCTAGCCCCTCCAATAAATTTAACCAGAAGAAAACCATCTATCTTAATCTCTTCCCATTTGACTTCTTTATAATTAACAGGCTTTGGTTGAACAAATAAGGAAAATGGGAGCATGTCGTCATCAGAGTCATCGTTTGTCAAATGAATTAAGCTTGCAACACTTTCTTCACTATCTGATGAAACAGTTTATTTCTTCGGTTTCTGCTACTTTGTTTTCGATATCTTCATCTGCTTAAAATTATGTCTTTTGTTTTCTTGGAACAGATATTTACTCGTTTTCCTTTGTTCTGCTTAACTTTCTTGTTCTCTTCGGTTTCTTTGAGCTTGTTCATTACTTCTTCCGTCGTTAAAACTTCTCCATATTTGGATTGTTTTAATTGTGGAATAACTTTTTTATTCTCAGTACCACCCGATATTTTTGGAGAATTTTCAACATAATAGATTAATGATACCATTGGGAGAAAGGTCTTTGGAATTTTTCTTTGCAGTCTCAACTCTTATGGTAGCATCCTGGTGTTCTGATTCAGGTAAATTAGAGTCACTTGTCAATATGGGTTTATCTGATTTCAAGTGGTCATTTGGGCTCATCGAGGGTCTAGATAATGCCTCAGAAATGTGTCACACTTCATCATGTTGGCTTGACGAGGCTCCAGGTAATTCATCAGAAATGTTTTCTAGTTCTTGGTTACTGGAAATGCTTTGGTGTTCCCTATACTTTCGCAATAAATTTGGATCAAAATACTTTTCGGAAAATTTCAGAGAATCAACTGGAAAAACGCCAGTCGTTTCGAAGCCTGAAATTATGTTTTCGAGAGTCATGCCTTGTTCCCAAACTTTTTTTAACAATTCTGAGAACTTACGTCTGGTCAAACGTCCACAAGACTTTCCCATTTCAGATTTTCTCTGATCAACCAAGATTCTGTCTCATTTAATTTTGATAGGTCCGAATATGCATTTATCTAGTGGTTGTATCCTATCTGTTAGATGACTTGGGAATCTAAGTAATGAAATGTTGTGTTCAAGCGCAGCATTCACTATCCGAACGCTGATATGGCTAATGTGGCCGTCGAATAACAAAAGAGCAGTCTGGTCAGGCACATCCTGTTCTTTTCACACTCTGTTAACATTTGGTATGAATAAGGTTATGAACAATTGATAAAAGTGGGGCTCTTCCATCCAAACATTTTTAGATGCTCCATATATTGTAACATGATACATATTTTCAGAAGTCCAACGGGCTTGGACAACAGCTCCTTTAAACACAATAAATTGAGGTAAAATGATCCATCTGCAGCAATGCATGCTAAGACAGTAGTAGATTCTCTCCCTGATCCTCCTGTGATATCCTAGCATTAAATATAAAACATCCTTTATCGTCGCCAATGAGCACACAGTTTTGAACCAACTCGCGTAGTTTTTCGTAAAAGTCATATACAATGAATGGATCTCTAGCATCTTTTCTTATTTTCTGAAGATGTTCTGGCTTCTTGAAAGCTAAAGTTGGATGTCGTTTCATAAAATTTGCATTCCAATCATACCCAGGTATGTTATTTTTGAAGGGAGTTTTTAAGCCCTTAGATGTCACATACTCTCCAACTAAAGAGCATAATTCTTTGCGATTACAAGGCCAACCTATGCGCGAACGCGCTTTTAGGCAATTCTCAATCCATCTCAACATTTTCAGGCAACACAGAATGACGACAACCAGTTGTCAACTTCAATGGATTTTTCCTCTCCTTGATATGATAAATTACATTTATTAGATCTGCTTCAGAGTACCTCTGACCAATTGGCTTTTTTCTTATATAATTTCGGACCATTTGTACCTGAAAATATATAAAAGTACATATTTATACATTTTCACATTTGCCCCAAGAGTTTGTTTGCGTTTGCCACTTCCTCAGAAAATTCTGGGGCAAATGTAAACCCCTCCATTAAAATAGAGTGCATTATAACCTAAGATTTGTGCATGCATAAAAACGTTGGATATGCCCTTTACAATAACTATATGCCATGAAAATCAACTTACCAGTTGAAAAACGGTTATCACACTGCATTTTTATTTATAATTCACAATCAAAATAATGAAGTATTTCGTTTCTGTATCATAAATGAACGAAAAAAAAAAAAAAACGATGCAACAGACTACACGGTTGACATGGGACTGAATAGAAGATGCGTGGTGGCATCTTGCACTGTGTGGAAGGAAACCATAACCCGCCAAATTCAAAAGTTATTGGCGTGTTTACAATAACCCCTTGTTTACTATTATCCCAGTTGACCCTTCACGAAACTCGGAAATTTCTAAAATCGCATAGTTTTAACTGTCAAGTATTCAAGGCTTGCTATTCAACAGATTAAAACTGCCGCGAAAAATAACAATCTTTTTATAATTAAACTAAATGCTGTAGGCATCCTGGTGACGTATCATCTGCGTGCAAATATATTTTTGTATCTTTTATCACTTTAGATACATCGTTTATATCAACTAGAAATAACAGAAGACCAAAAATGGTTACGTGGGGGACACCTATATTATTTGAAACTGGACTTGAATATTTGTGAATATTCTATGAGTGGTAAAACTTTAGTTTTTTCAAATTATTTTATTGGGTGTTGCAGAAACTATACGTTACTTTGTTATTTAATCTTGTATATTTTCGTATAAATTAAAATTGTTAACAATGTCAATTTTATGAAACAAAAAAAAATTCTGTAATTCATTTCTGCCATGAATTTGGTGCAATTTAGTCTTCATGTGGACTATAACTAATTATTAATACTTTAAAAATGTTTAATTATTATTTAAATAAGTACGTATATTGTTGAGACTGAATTAGAACGACGAAGAATTGTGTACAGGATGATGGAACAAACAGCCTTATACATTGTTTCGTTTGTAAATATAAATAGAAGTTTCCGTAAATTTGGTAAAACACTGTAAGTATACCTTATTTACAGATAAACTATGTACATTTATAGAATATCTGTAGATTGTATGAATATTTTATTTTTATTTATATATTAGATGGATAATGTTATTTGTTTTTTTATGATATAACTATCCAATATTTTTTAAGGAAATAAAAATTCTGTTTCAGACTTATTGAGAATTAAATAAATACTCTTATAAAATATTCGATCTTTTTATAGAAATACCAATTCGGTATATTACATTTTAGCTGTTATCTTGTACACAAGTATTTACATTAGTTTCACCAAATATCTGATCAATTGTGATCATTCTAAGTATTTATTTAAAAAATATATGATAATTTGTTTTATCTATTATTTATTTACGATGTTTATGTCTTATATGGTAAGCATAAATTAGTACCTATATCTATAAGAACCTCTGAGTTTTTGTTAACAACATGTATTTATTGCATAACTACTATTACAATATTTTTTACAATCTGTGTTTTATTTCGCAATTTACGAAGGGAATTTTGGTCTACTTTTACTAAACAAAATTATAAATAAGTTGTCGAAGTTGATATCCATAGGTTGAACTATGATAGAACTGCGAATTTTTGAAGAGCTGCACTTTCAACGATTTTTCTCCAGATCTGGGGAAATTTGTATAACAAATTAGGCAATACCGCACTGCATGGATAGTTTTCATTATTTGCATGGTTAAATATAAAAATTAAATTCAAATAAATAATATATAAGCGGTTCAAAGATTAACGTGGTAGCAAATTGAATGCAAAAAATAGACAGTCGGTTACGTCACGGCAGGTCTTGTCAACGCCAACGATGACGTTCAGTAACAACATTGCACAGTGAAATAAGACACGGCGATTTCCAGCTACGATAAGAGTCTTTTGGAAATAATAGAAATCGCTAACAAAAGGATTACAATTTACAATGTATACAGAACAAAAATTAATGTGTAATTCGTACATATAAAAACATATCCCAATTTTCAACCAAAACTTTAAGGTTGTACTAACAGAATTTTGACTGTTATAGTAATAAAAATGCTTTATACATAATTATTTAGAGATATTCAAGAAATACTGATTGATTTCTTTTACATTCTTAGATTAAAAAGACCGAAGATGTAACATTGCACACTGCGCATGTTGTCTATTTTAATCCCAAGTAACCCACCAATTGAAAATCATTGTTTGCACGACGCCACCCGAATTGCTTCGATTTTTCCATTCAACACTCACCTCCGCCTGAGTTCAATCACCATTGACAGCTGTTTTGGATTTATTTGTTGGTGTTTTAGCAAATTAAAGTGTTCTAGTTATTCAATTTTAAGTTCAAAATGCCACGATGTATCTTGAAAAATTGTATACAGTGCTTCTCAAAAGTCAAAAGTATATACTTTTTAAAAACTAAACATTTTAAATTACCAAGACTGTGAAATAATAAAACAATAATATTTTTCCTTTTTTTTTTTTAAGAAAAAAAAAATAAAAGTTTCGGGGCTCGAACCACCAACTTGCTATCTACACTATCCAAATCAAGTAGGTGTATAGGTATCTGTCATCTATGTACAACAGTGAATAGCTGTACGCGTAAAATTTGTGTATAAAGTGTTTTAAATATGAATAAACAAAGTGCATTTATTAATGAAGAAAGTGATGAGAAAATAATGAAAGAAAATGAGTGAGTACTCTACGTACATACATTTTATTATTATCACAAATGCAGTATTTAGTACCTTTTAGCCCAAGAGCCCACTGCAAATTTTTACCGTCATCTGATAACGAAATGAAATATACCCCAAAAACATTGTACTTTACCAAATGGCACCTGTGCCAATCCCAATCCTGAGCAAAGTAACTTAAACAATTATTTTATATTAAAAAATGACATAAGGTATGACAGCGCTAATTTTATAACATTCAAATATATCTTGATATATATCGTATAAAAAGGGAAACATTTTCTTCTTCTTAACATCGCACAAAAACATCTATCCACGATTAGTAGGTAAAAATTATTAAAAATATGAATCAATTTTTGCTGATTTAAAAATTTATTTGTATGCCTATTGTTGTGATTCATTTTTACAGGTTGCCATAGAAATGACAAAAAAACTACTATGATTATGGTTTAAAATAATTGTCTGACAAGAGTTTATAATTATTAACCGA